AGATTTGGTCTTATGCTGAGCATGTGCTACTGCTGGTGAATGGGTTAAGCTTTGTGTTGCTGTTCTTTTGCATAACCTAAAGTAAATATGGAAAACCAGCTGTTAAATAGTTTAATTCCACTATTTATCCTCCACACAACTAAAAGGGACCTCTCAATGCAGTGCCAAATCAGACAAACCATTTCTAACTTAATATAGGCTTGAGCTGTAGATGGGCAGAGTTGCACAACAATCTCATCTGTCATTGAGACATTTCTATAAGCATGGGGAGGAGGTGGATGAAAGGAAATGTAAAATAGGTAGCATGGTATAGGTCTTATCACTGGCTGATAATGGTCTATATGTACTTGAATTAAATTTATGGTACACAAATTTATGGTACTTAAACTAGAGTACACAAAGCTTTAAGTCTCTCCATTTGTTAATGACAGTGGTAATGGTTCTTAATGCCACTGTTGACTGCTGTTCACTTTACGTGGTTCAAATGTTATTCTGTTATAGTTTATTAAATATTTTATTACACTATTTGGTTCAGAATATATTTTCCCTGTTTTCCTCCTCTAAAAATTATGTGAGTCTTAAGGTCCGGTGCATCTTATGGAGCAAAAAAATACGGTATACAGCAGCCTTATCAGCTAACATGGTTGCCTTCTGATTACTGACCAACAGACAGGGTACCATACTTTTAATAAAAAATATACTTTAAAATCTCTCTTAATGCAATAGTTTTTAAAATGTAATTTGTTTAACATATTTCCATCTTGCTTTTTCTGTGCCTGCTTTAATTTTGTGGTAAACCACTGCATATCCTGCTTCTGGGAAGGAGGAGCATAATACAAGTCAAATCAAATAAACAGGAGGATAAATATGAATAAATAACATTAAGAGACACAGCTACTTGATCCTGCACTAGTGCGCTTTCATAAGGAGTGGGGGATGGGTTTTTCTAATTCTGTACCTCTTATTACACTGAGGCCAGCCATGCCATTTGAAACTCGCAAGCCCCCACCCCTGCCGCCACCCCCCTTCTCCCTCCTCCTCTTCTTCCCTTTCCTTCCTTTGGGCTCAGCTGCTCCAGCGCAAGCAGGCAGAGGAATGCAC